AGATCGTCTCGGTTACGTATGTAACCCTCGTTCCCTGAAGGAGGGAACGGAGACGTCACGTCCCGTCGCCACAGCTCCTGTACCACCGCTGAGCGGCCGGGTCACCGGCTCGGCTCCTCAGTGAAAACCTGAATATGCGCTGCATCTGCTGCCTACTTATACTCACGCTGTGATCAGCAGCAGCTGGATGCAATAATCGCATGCCAATGTGCATTGGCTCGTTTAGTTTACACTCGAAGTGGATTGGTCTCTCTAAGCGAGATCCCAATTCGTCGGTCATCCGACGTGACGTCTCCGTTCCCTCCTTCAGGGAACGAGGGTTACATACGTAACCGAGACGTTATTATTAGCAAATGTCTGCTACAAATTCTCATTATCATAATGCAAAATAAATAAAAAATTCATTTGCATTTAATTTTGCAATAAAATGACAACATTTTGTATTATTATAATAAGCACATTTCCTCCACAAATTTTCATTATCATAATGCAAAAAAAATAAATTTGATTTGCATCTAATTTCATGACAAAATATACGTATTTGCATTATTATTAGTAGTAGTAGTACATTTCCTCTAAAAATTTTCATTCAAATAATGCAAAAATATAAATAAATGCATTTGCATTTAATTTTGAAAGAAAATAAACTATGTCTGCATTAATATTATTATTATTATTATTATAGGCACATTTCTGCTACAAACTCTCATTCCCATACTGCTAAAATAAAAAAATGCATCTGCATTTAATTTATCAAGAAAACAGACTATTTTTGTTTATTTATATAGCCTGTTTTCTGGCAGAATTAAATGCAAAGTTTTTTTTTTTTGCATTATGATAATGGGAATTTGTATGGGAAATGTGCATTGATTTGGGAGACACAATAAAACACAGTTCAGCTGTATTCACATTCTCATTGCTGTCTGTCATGAGGCCTTTCAGCCATATGTCACATCTGATGAAACCCTTCACATGTTAAAAAACAGGTTTGTGCTGGCCTCAGATCAGTTTTTCATATCTAACGCCGGGTTTGTATCCAGTTTATGTTTGTAATTAATAAGAAGAGTGAGACCATGTGTCCTGAAACTTACATTAAAGAGCCGCGGGAATCTTAAAAGGGTCAAATGATGCGATTTCAATTTTTCCTTTCTCTTTGGAGTGTTACAAGCTGTTCGTGAATAGATAAGATCCCTAAAGTTTCAAAGACTAAAGTCTCAAATCCAAAGAGATATTCTTTATAAAAGTTAAGACTGGTCCACGCCCTCCTAAAACGCCTCGTTTAAACACGCCCCCAACATGTCTACGTCACGAGGTGGGAAGATTTGCATAACGCCGCCCAAATGTTCACGCAAAGAAAGAAGGCGTAACTTTATTGTTGCTGCTACCGCGGCCATGTTGTGAAGACGCTGTGTTTCATTGCCAAAGCGAAAATACTTTGTTTGAAAATACTTCCAAAAGAGGACATGACTAGAAATCAGTGGTTAAGTTGTATTTACAACACTGCAAACTTATCACAAAAACGAACAATTTAACATATATCAGCATAATAACAACTACCTTAAATGACCAAAACCATCTTTCGGAAAATTGTATTAGAAGTGTAATTCATTTTTTTATTTTGACTCAAGTCCCATTCGTTTACATGGAGAGTGTGGGGTTTATGACCTGTACTGCAGCCAGCCACCAGGGGGCGATCAAAGAGCCCGCAGCTTCACTTTTCAGGATGTGTGAGGCACACCCGGTTTTGAGCAGTGTAGAGTTGTGCTTGTTGTTTGTCATTTCTCCGATCACAAATGCAGACATGGTTTTATGTTTACACGGCGCGATGCAAGGCAACGCGTAAAAAGACAGTATAAGTCATTATGATCCGTAATTATGTCCTCACTGGATGCAACAAATGCCTCGTTTGTAATGGGTTTTATTGGGTTTGTCTCGTTGCACGGCTTGCGCTGGGACATGGAAACACAGTATGGTAAGGGAAGTAACATTTCCGTCACACGCTTGAGGTATTCGGCCAATCACAACGCACTGGATAGCTGGCCAATCAGAGCACACCTCGCTTTTCAGACCGATGAGCTTTGTAAAAATCGACGCGTTTCAGAAAGGCGGGGCATAGAGGAGAAACAATAATGTACAGTATGTGGAAAATAATGTTTTTTTTTAACCTTAAACCGCATAAACACATTTCATTACACCAAATAATGTTCTTTTTAGCAACATCATATGACCCCTTTAAAGCAAAGTTGGGGTTGATTTCGACTTCACATGATTACATTTGTCTTTGTTTTAATGTGATACAAAATAGTTTTTGTCAGTGATAGAAATATGATTTAAGACGGTAGTTTAAGCATGTTTAGTTTGAAAAAGTTTAATAGTAAATAAGACACAGTGAGACAATGTTTAAATAAATTAATAATAATAATGAGAAGAAATATTTATTTGCAACAACTGATGGAGTACTGAATGCTGCACGCACGTGCAGCGGTCGGTCATCCCTTTGCCAAGGGAGTTCCAAATGCTTATACTCTCTGCTCTGCCCTTCCAAGGGAGTAGGGCATAGGGATGCTCACTTCTGTTTGGAATTCGCCCTATGTTCTACGTTGGCAGCGAACAACTTGACCCCGCCCACAAACACGTCATTCTACTGACGACTGCTTCTCTAATCTCAGGGAGTTCAAAGCGGCATTCACAAAATGCTTGCTGTGGAAAATGGATTACTATCCTGTTTATTTGGATCAGCTGCTCAACTGAATCACAACCTGTAAGTATGATAAATAATAGATGTTTACATTTTCTATAGAGCGTTCAAAATACAGAACTATTGAAATAGACATATCGTTTCCGAAAAGCACTGTACGCCGTAGACCAATCACAACAGACTAGGCCATCTGACCAATCAGAGCAGAGTAGGCTCACGGAAAGGAGGGGTTTAGATAGACTGAATCTTTCAACTGCTTCGAACGATTCATTTGAGAATCGCTGGAAAATGAGGTGATATTAAATGCATATTTTGAGAAAACGAAAGCGTTTTTTGGCCTTGCATGCATATAATCCTATTGTAGGAGACTCCCAAAACAATATTAGGAACGGTAAAATTTGCATAATAGGTGGCACTTTAAAATTAAATTTATTCCTGAGATGGCAAAGCTGAATTTTTAGCATCATTACTCCAGTCTTCAGTGTCACATGATCCTTCA